CCTGCCCACAAACCCTCACGGGCTCAGCTGTCCTCACAGTGCTCAGAAGCCCTGCTCTTCCTCTATCGGGGGAAACAAATACATTTGGGACCTCGGGTGTTCTTCTGCTAGTAGGAGGTCAGGAAATGACTCTGAAATACTACAACAACACAGGATAGTAATAACTGTGGGTGCATTTGGGACATCAGTTGTTCTGATAGTAGGAGGTCAGGAAATGACTCTGAAATACTACAACAACACAGGATAGTAATAACTGTGGATTATGGATTCTAGGATTCCTTATATACAGTTCAATATTCTACAACTGGGAGTGAACAGCAGAGCTTACACCCAGGGATAGTGATCAAGTAAATTTTTTCTTTCAGAAAAATACAAGTTTCAGCAAATTAATAATAAACTATTTTTTATAATAAACTATTTTTTGTAGTAAACTATTTTTTGTAGTAAACTATTTATGAGTAAATATAAACTATTTATTTATGTGAGTAATTCATGACTACTATACCCTGGAGTTGGCCAGGCAGAACCACACAATGTTAAGGCCGTTTGCAAGTATCAGCCTTAAAAAGTAATTAGAACCCTTAGTAAGAATCGCCATTGAAATCGATGGTCAGGAAGTAACTAACACCCACAATAATGCTCGTTTACCAATGTGTCTGGAGTGCTTTTTTATTTTTTTGACAATCCTGAGGTAATTCTATGTTTAATTTAATTCCCTTCTTCTTCAGTCTAAATATTTTTAGAAATAGAAAATAAAATTTACTTGGTTTCATAAAATATTGACAAAGGGTTAATGGAAAGTAATTTAAAGAAGACTTTAATAACAATTCTGTCAAACATACAAGATGCAACAACTAATCCAAGAAAGCTAGAGTAGCTGTATTGATATGGACAAAGTCAATTTCAGAGCAGAGAGTCTTATCTGGGACAAATAAAGTCATATCTTAGTGACAAATGGCCAGTCTATCAAGAGGGCACAGCAATCATAAGTAAATGTGTATCTAAAAACCAAGTTTGAAAATACTGAAGCAGAAGTAGATAAAACTGCAAGGAGAAATACACAAATCCACAATTACAGTGAGAGATTTCAATACTCTTCTTTCAGTTATTGATTTAAGAAGTTGACAAAGACAAAAAATCAGTAAGAACATAGGGGACATGAATAACACTATCAACAACTTAACTCAATTGAACTTTACAAAATTGTCTACCAAGAGCAGCAGGACACATGCTCTTTTCCAGTGCACAATCCACCTACCATCTGGGCCATCATTTAAGTACCAATATATTTTAAAGTATTCAAGTCAAAACAAGGGTGTTCTCTGACCACAGTGGAACTAAAGTAGGAATCAATAAGAGAAAGACCTGGGGGACAAAAACTCCCCCAATTTTAAAAGAAATAGTTGTCTAAATATATTTTGGGGCAAAGAATAAATCGAAATGGAAATTAGAAAACATTTTAAACTGAGTAAAAATGAAAACATAATATGTCAATATTGGTAGGATGTCACTGGAGCAGCACTTAGGAAGGAAACGAGAGAACAGGAAATAATTCCCGTTCATTCTGAGGCAGCACTACACTGATACCAAAATCAGACAGAGATATTGCAAAAGAAGAAAACTAGACCCCAATATCCTTTATGAACATGGGTTCAATGATGCTTTTTAAATTAAAGCATATTGAGTCCAACAATATCTAAAAAGATAAGGCATCATGACCAAGTGGCATTTCTGTCAGTAAGGCACAGATGGTTTAACATTCAAAAAATAATTTGTGTAATTTTCTCTATAAGTGCTAAAAAATAAAAACCATATGATTATATCTATAGATGCCATAAATGTATTTGATTAAACAGAATATCCATTTCTGATAAAAACTCATAGTAAACTTGGAGTCATAGGAAACCTCCTTCACCCAATAAAGGACATTTATGAAAAACATGTGTTTAAGTAGTAGACTTTTCCTGCAGGGAGACAGTGGTAAGTCAGCGATGCATATTGTAATGCCGAGATCATACACAAAGTAGCACAAAAAGGGAAAAAATAGTCTTTTCAACAAATGGTGCTAAGAAACCAGCATATCGACATGGAAAAATAACAAGTCTCAATCCCTATGTCCGTGCATAAACCGGCCATGGGCAAACTACTGCCTGGGAGCCCGATCTGGCCCCTGCCTGTTTCCACACCACCCAGGAGCTAACAATGGGTTTTACATGAAAAAATGGTTGAAAGAAAGTGAAAAGAAGAGTATCTTGAGACATGAAAATTATACAAAATTGAGATTTTGGTATTCATAAGTACAGGTATCTTAGAACACAATCACACTCATTCGTTTGTGAATTGTCTGTGGTTACTTTTCCACTACAAAGACAGAAGTGAGTCTTTGGGACAGAGACTGCACGGTGCACAAAACCTACAATGTTCATTATTTGACCCTTTACAGAAAAGTTTGCTGACCCTTGCTGTAAACCAAAGTTGATAAGATATAGATCAAAGTTCTTGATGATATAAAAACTAGAACTCTAAAGCTTCTGAGAAAAAACAGAGGAGACTCTCTTCATGACCGTGGGGTAAGCAAAGATTCTTAAAGTGGACAAAAAATGTTCTAACCATAAAAAAGTAAATTGTTCTTTATCAAATTAAAAAAAAAGTCCATCACAAAATGTCATTAAGAAGACATATATATGAGAATTTGGTTGTAACACATTATAAAGAATTCCTACAAATCAATCATAGAGAAACAAAACAAATCAATCAAAAAGAGCAAGAGAGCTGACGGGGTGTTCAAAAAAGGAGGATACATAGCAGGCAGTTTCCTCTTCATGGCACTGATGAGCTTATTTCCCCAGCTGCTTAGGTTTTTGGCTGACAGAACTGCAGTGTCGGCCCCTGCTGGAATTACCTTCAGTTAAAGCATTTCCCCCAGTCGCGCCCGATTCCTAGGGCAGCTGCCACATAAGGACTGGCTGGTATCTCCCTCCTTACACACTACTTGAGAGTTAGCATGTTTACCCCCCTATTTGGAAAACATGTTTGCTTCATGCCTCCATTATTACCACAGGAAAAGTCAACTTTGAGGCAGGTAAACCTCAAATCAGCAAGAGCTGAACTGTGTCCTGAGATCCTGATGCCTAATCTAGAAAGCACCAGCCTCCTTGGCAGACTCAACGGAGCCACATGCTAGTGACTGCACAACTGGCCACTTGAGGGCGCTGTGGATCCACTGAGTGAGCTGCTGATAGCTCTGTCTGGGGAGGGAGGGTTAAGGGACAATCTTGGCTTGGTCCCTGCATCAGAGATATTACTTGATGAACCAGAGGTACTGCTGGCACAGGAGGGGTTAACTTGAGTCTTCTCTCGTCAACTGATGTGCAGGTGTGTTCTAATGGCAGGGAGCCAGGACCTGCAGCCTTGCCTGGGTAGAGGCCTCTCTGGAGCTTCCATTTGATGGGGAGCGTGATGAAGCTTCAGTGGGGCAGCCTGGATGACCCAGGCCAGGTGTGGACAGTGGAGCACCTGCCTCAGAGGAAAATCAGAGAAGCTGTGGTGGGTGGAAGTCTGCCCCAAACCCTGCCCTGCCCAGTTCAGCACGGATAGTTCTCCCTGACCAGTAGGAGGCTGTACAGAACGGGGGAAGACCTCACATAGCTGAGTTGTCCAGGGGTGTGGGGTACCTGTGGGAG